AACACAGTTCTAGAATTAAGTTGATGCTGGTACTATGTATTGGCGAGAGCATCCATTGCGTAGTTAAGTCTCCGTGACCCAGTAACGAGCGGACATCACGGTGGAATGATAAGCAGTGTCGCGTTGCTCGCGTGCGTTGTGTAACTTAGTGCGGCCGCTTTCACCCAGCACGGTAAGTCACTGACCCTCTCATGGCTCCTACAGAGTCCTAACCACAAGGCCGTTCACAATATGGTAATTACCATGATACCCATACAATGTTTGTTTATACATGATTTAACAATAACCCTGTGATTCCCGTAAAGTGCCTTATTTGAATCAGTACTCAAACTTTAGAAATATCTTTACTTTATAAACTGCGACCATAAATATTAAATTAAATTAAAATAACTATTTAATTGCAAATTATATGTAGTTTATTACGTTTAAAAATCACGATTATCTGTAAAGCAGGGTCTTTGATAATACTCTTTCTCCTCGGCCAATGAAGAGGTAATAAAATCACGCACATTTTGCAAAGAAAAATTTATTTAAATTTAATTAAAAATGATTTGATAATGATAATTTTACGAATTAAACTTATTTCTATACGTTTCAGTATTAATTCTGCTAATGATAACGCCTTTAACGAAAATCAAGGGTTTTTTGTTACATGTTGTATAATTTCTTACATCTCTCTTACATGAAGCTTTTCAACATTTTCAATATCTTAACATCCTAAATAAAATTTCATTAATTACGACCAATCAAAAGTCCACTGTTGAACATTGGCCTCCACCATAGACTATATGGCAGCTATGGCAAATATCCCTGGTAGGTCGGATATTTGCCATAGCTGCCATGTTCGTACGGCAGCTTGGTAACCGCAGCTTCTTTCGTATTTTTATTATTTTTAAGTAGTTATCAGAAGGTCGGTGCTGCCCATCTTCTTTTTAATGTTTCTCTGTCGCCCCTTATTGTGGATTCTCTCATGGTGGATTCACTTCTACCCGCCACTACATGAATACTTATATGAAAACAATTATTTGCTTTATAACTAAATATTCTCAAATCTAAAATTCCGAATCGAGCTAAGATCTCCGTCGATACCAATAATTGCATTGTTTCTAATCGTTAAGGAGAAAAGCCGGATTCATAGTGTAAAATATTAAATATATGTAGATATTTTTAAGGGTGACAAACGAGCACACAGTCCACCTAATGATAAGTGTATGCTGTGGCCCATAGACATCTACATCCAGAATCAAAATGTAAATGGGTTACCACCGTAGAGGACTAAGATGGAATGCCTTGTTTCCAGTAAAAAGGGTCTTCGATTCTCTACATTCACCATACGAAACAGAGCAACATTGAGCTGCTATTTTGCGCTGGTATTCTATGAGAGCGTGGTTCTACACCGGTCGAGCCAATCCATACAAAAAAGGAAAAAATGCGACTCTGTTGTAACAACAACCATAATATAGCTACAGCATGGCTCTACCATGTAAAATATTTTCATTCTATTACTCTCTCAATATTGAAGTAAATTCTTTTTGTTAATTGTTCAAATACAAGGCTTTGCATTGTGAGGGAACCTGAATGTACGAGAAATAAAAAAAATGTATTGACGACATGTGAAGTTCGCCAACACATTCCAACACTTCCTTGCTCTAAAACCCGCTCAGAAATATGTGGAGGCCTATCCCCAGTAGTGGGAGGTATATTGTACTTGTAGATTGTAAATTTTTATACAACGCTGCTTTTGTAAGTATTTGTTTAACTTTTATACATTTCTCGCCAATGTACCTACTACTCAATGTAGTTTGATGGTAATTTTTGAATGACACCGGTAGTTAGGAATTTATACATTTAGTATGTATTCTTCATACATAACAAATGTTCTCATGTGCCAGGAACACATCTCGTGTGTGTAACGTGGAGTTGTGAATGAACACTAAATAGCTAAGTGCAATTAGTGTAGGGATGCCATAAATGCAGGAACGACGATCGGGACATTTGAAATAGAAGTAGAGAGTAATTTTTGTAAGGCCTTTAAATCAGAGTGAAAGTAAGAAACAAAGTTGCTGGGATCTGTCTTTTGAATTCCACAGCACCAAGGCTTAATATTATTAAATTGTATGCACGCATGAAATGTTATTTTTTGCAATAGTTAGGTAGGACCTAAGTTTAGGACTTAGGGTACACATTTAATACAGGTAGGTACATATTTAATTATAGGTCCCGAAAATCAATACATATAGCACATTAAGAAAAAGTAAAATAAAAAGTAAAAAATTACCTTCGCGCCATTTTTCAATTGCTTTTTTGTTCTCCAAAAGGAGTGAATCTAACGAGTAAATTCGATACATTCTGAAGTTTTATTACAAAAAGGGGGAAAACGCGACTCAATGCAGCGTCTGTAAGAGTAGCACAAAGTTGGTTCAAGTGTTTTAGGTCCGAGAATTTTGATGACAAAGATGCTCGCTCGCTCTTCTCGCCTTTATACGGATACATTCGATGCCATTTTTGTAAAAGTGGAGCAAGATCGGCATATTAGTAGTTACGATATAGTCCAATTGAGGATTGACCACCAAACAGTTTTGACCCATTTGAAAAAGTCTGGCTATACAAAAAAGCTCGATATTTGTGTACCACACGAGCTCACTGAAAGAAACCTAATGAATCGTGTACTCATTTGCGATTCTCTATTGAAACATAATGAAACTGAACCATTTTTAAAAATATTGATCACTGGTGACGAAAAGTTGATCACTTACGACAAGAACGTGCGAAAAAGATCACGGTCAAAGCGTGGTCAAGCTTACAGATTGTAGCGAAACCCGGATTAACACGTAATAAAGTGAAGCTATGTGTATGGTGGGATTGGAAAAGCATAGCTTATTATGAGATTTTACCGCCGGGCAAAACCATCGATTCGGGTCTCTACTGCCAACAACTAATAAGACTGAAGCAATAAATTGAGAAAAATGGTCGGATTTAATCAACAGAAAAAGAGTGGTCACACATCTTTGGCCACTCAGCAAAAATTGAGAGAGCTTGGTTGGGAAGTGTTAATGCATCCACTATATAGTCCTGACCATGGAATACCGTATTCTATGATCCTGACCTTGCACCCTTAGATTTTCAGCTGTTTCGGTCTCTTCAGAATTTTTTGGATAGTGTTAGGTTAACATCAAGAGGGGACTGTCAAAACTACTCGCATTTTTTGATCAAAAATCCCAAAATTTCTACAGCAACGGAATTATGTACCACTTCTTACAAGATAACATCAAACAAAATGGCACATATATATTATAATAAAACGTAATTTAGCTTTGAGACTTTGGGGGAGGCCTATGTTCATCTGTGGACCTGTGAAGGGCTGTAATGATGATGATAATGAAAGTTGAAAAAAAATGTCTTCAATTTGTATATAAAATACGAAGAAACTTATTCCTCAACCTTATATTTAAACTAAAATCTAATGAAAAAAATCAATGATCACTTTAAACTCCAAATAAAATAATTTGTATTTGGTGCCGATAGAGATTGAGCTCATTAATTCATTTACTTGAGTACTTGCTCGCGTTATAATCTCATAGATTTAAGGCAAGCGCTTAGCTCTTGCGCTACAAAGGCTCTCAATGAATAAATAATACGTATATTTGTTGAAAATTAACATCCTAGTTTTCAACTCAATTTTCAATCAAACTTACTTATTGCCCTTCGTATCACTTTATTGCCCGTTTCTGGCGTTTTAAGCTGCTAACTATCTACCTACTGTTAAAACAGAGCGAATAAAAAGAACGATACAAATATATGTTATATTCCATAAAGCGCTAACCGAATATAGTTTTATTGAACTGTAATACTACTAACTATCTATTGTCCACAAATCGGGACAACTGAATCACTGACTAGACACAATAGGCACTTGTCCGAGTTACCGGGACATTTCCCGGTATACTGGAACGTTTGGCAGCCCTACAATAAAATGATATAAAGTTGGAGGCGACGTGCCCGCGGGCGGCAGGTGTGCGAGGAGAAAGTGCTGGGAACTAGCGGCGTCGATTCGGCTCGCCTGTGCCGAGTGCTGACTCACACGCTTCTTACGTAATAAAGGCTTATTCTTGATTGTAAATGCGATTTCAAACAATTTGCTATGTCATTTTTATTTGTTATATAAAAATTAATCATCGTGAAATTTTGATGGTACCCATATATCTATGCTATAAGCTGGCTAATATTAATTTTGCTCCTTAGGTAAGTAGGTCTCCTCACTATGTATTCTTTCACCAAGTGTGTGGTAAACTGGTAAATCAGCACTAAAATTCCGGATCTCAAAGTATTCGAATCCGGATTGCTCGAGTAGTGTGAAATTTACGGCAAGCGGTTAACTCAGAGCTACTGCGCCTCTTATGTAGTAATTGCTTCTCTCAAATTAGATAGTAATCAAACCTAACCGTTATATAAGCTTCTTATGTAGGTCAATTATTCATCTAAATGCTATTTAAACTATAAATAAACATAGATAACGAAAGTGACATTAAATTTCACAACAATTAAATAAATGTTGACGCAATTCACATTTTATCTGGTATATCTTATAGTAAATGCTATGATAATAAATTAAACCAACTATGCTAAATGCTGATAAAACACTGATTAACTAGTTTTTTTTAATAGAATGTTGACAAATGAGCACATAGTGGCCCATGGACATCATGATTTGTCTTCGATTAATAATCAAAATGCAGATGCGTTGTCCCCCCTGAGGACTATGATGGAATGCCTCGTTTCCAATAAAAAGTGTCTCTAGTTCTCTACACTCACCATACGAAACACAGCAGCATTAAACTGCTATTTTATGCTTGTATTCTGTGAGAGCGTGGTCCTTCCCCGGTCAAGCCGACCCATTCGTGCTACAACCACAATATATCTGCAAAATGACTCTACAACGTATAAATTTAATTGTATGCTAGAATTTGTACGCGTATGAAAAAAATTGTGCAGAAACTTACAGATACAAAATAATGCTTAATATATACACGCATGGTAAACCGTACATCTGTTCAATATTCCCCAATTTTATTTGAAAATGTTTTAAGAAACTGTAACAAGACATGGGCAGCAACATTTGCCTGATTACAATTGTACCAGTAAGCTAAGAGTTAAGAGGTAATCTACGAGGATGGACATGTTGGGCAGTGCACTTCGATGGGCTGTAATCAGTAAATGTTATACTTGCCTATAAAGAATAATTATTTGAAGTATTAAAGATGCAACTTCTACATCGCTTTAATCTCGCGTTGTGATCGCGTCTGCAGCAGTTTTAACACAACAAGAATAGACGGTCAAACTTAATTTCAATACTTTGGTAGTGGCCGTACGATTGATGTTTTCCACAGTAATTACTTGTTCAGTAGTACAACTTGGTAATTTATTTGTGAGATTTATTCTGTGTAACTTAAGCAAAGTTTGTCAAAAAAGAACAGGCAGGCAACAGAAGTGCTGTAAAACATTTTCAACGAAAAAAATGCATTTGATCAGAGTGTTAGTTATTATAATAAAACATATTTTTGTGTTTCCTGAGAGACCAGTTCTGGAGTCGGCACGACACTGATATGTTTACAAGTTATTAAGTTAACTATGTTCATTAAAGATTATATTATTGTTACTATTTATTTACCTAGCAAAGGCTCTTTTCATAAATAAGAAAATTTACATAGTTTAAATACATTGTTCGCTTCGTCATTGAAACGGTCGTATTCGTTTTAATTATCCCATATCGCTCCGGGGGTGTCGTAAGAGGCGACAGTGATAAACTGAAACAGGTGGTGGGTAGCAACTATGGCAAAATCCCCCTTTGGGGCAAAAAAAGTGAGGGGAGATCTATGTTCAGCACTGGACTTTTATAGACTGTTGTGGATGGATGTATGAAATTCATCGTTGTCCGCTATCACAGGTACAGTGGACTTATGTATTTTTCTACACATTAGAGCATTATAGATACTATAGATTATAATAAGGTAAGGTGGTTCGTATGTAGATTAACTAAATGGTAGAAATATTTTTCTGCCAAGGAGTCAAAGAGCCTATCTGGGTAAGTACATTAGGCCAAATAGCCGTGCTTTCATTATGATTTCTTAAATTAATATTCAAAACTGAAGGTAGCCGGGCTAACAATGATATTGGGACGTCAAACATCTCAGTCCCCCCCGTGACCATGGGTGCTGTAAAGCACCCAAAACGTCGGGAATTTAAAATAAGTAAAAGTAATTAATTAAACGCGATAGAATCCGTAAATTTAGTTTTAGTACCCGGATGACATTTTTTAAAATTACATTTAGATACAAATTACATGAATAATATTTTTTGATCTTATTGACATAATAGAAAAAACTGAACTGGTTATTTGAATAAAAAATCATGAGTGCAATTAGTTTAACTAAAATTTTCGAATTCTTAAAATACTAAAAAAAGGGCTCAAAATAATAGATTTTCTCACAAAAGAAGGGAACTTGAAAAAAAAGGAAAAAAGTCGGACCAAAGACAGGACGCGAACCAAGGCATTATGATTTCACGACCGCTTGATATCCACTTGACCTATTACGATCATTAACACATTGTCAAAATTTACCTTCTTATATTGTAGCAGTTTTTCATTACCTGAAAACACGGACAAAAACACATTTTCTAAAATTATATCCCGGCTAGATCGATTTATTGCCCCCGAAACTCCCTGGACACAAAATTTTATGAAAATCGTTGGAGCCGTTTCTCCGAGATTCCGATTAAAAAAAAAAAAAAAATATATATATATATATATATACAAGAATTTTAAAGGTATAGGATTCAAGTGCTTGCATTGCTATGTTCCGATCACTGTCTGAAGGGTACGGAGAGCCAGGATAACTACACGTTATGAGGCATTCCATCTTAGTACTCAAAGCTGACAACGCATATATAGCCTGCTTTGTTTGAAGTTGCAAGTGTTGATGCACGGCAGTAGCCATTTACCATCAGGTTGGCTTTATTTCGTTTTGTCCTTTATCACTTCAGTTTTTAATTTAAAAAAAATAGTCTACATAATATTAGCTAAAATTAATGACAGCTATACTTCTAAATATACTGTGTAGCATGGTTATTAAAAAAAACTTAACAAAAGCAAGGGAATATATAAAGAATGAATTAATAAAATTACGTGTCAATCCACGGCAATAAGAATTGACTTTTGCTAGGGGCCAACTATGAACTAATGAATTGTTGGAGATTATTGGTTATTGCTTGAATGCTGCCGTTAGTCATCCGATGAGACGCTCGCTATCGGATACGGTTAATTAATTAAGAAAGAGTCGATGACTGACAGATAGCTTTTTCAATTTAACTAACAAATGATTAATTATAGAAATTTTTATGGGAAACGACTTCATTATTAGAAAGCAATCGTTTGGAATTCGCTTATTGATTTGTCTAATGCTGAGTTACTGGTTATTTTTATTAGAAGTAAGCTTTAAGAAGACCAATATATCGACCAATTTGGCTATATATTGACAGCGGGCCAAATTAGGAGTACTATTACAAACAGGTACAAATTAGGAGGACAACGTCTCAGATACATAAGTCATCACTGGCAACACGCACTGATTGCATAATCTCGTTTTCAAGTTCTGAGGTATACCTGACAAGAAGATGTACCGTAATCTCCTGAACGCTGCCCAGCCGAGTTGGAACCGTGACGGACAGCGTAAGAGAATATCCTCAATATTGTCCTACTCGTATGTGGCGCCTATATAGGTAATAGATAATTGACTTTGGAGAATGAAAGATTGATTTTCACTACACGTGTCCTCAATTTTTTTTTAAATTTAACTAACGTTTCCTTGCATTTTCCTTCTCTTCTAAGTATTGTATTTGGTAAATATGCGTTGTGATCCGTGAGGACTTAGATGGAATGCCTCGTTTCCATCTAAGTCCTCACGGATCTCCGGTTCTCTACACTCACCATACGAAACACAGCAACATTAAGCTACTATTTGACGCTGGTATTCTGTGAGAGTGTGGTCCTTCTCCGGTCGAGCCGACCCATTCGTGCTACAAATATACTACTAACATAACTGAATCATGGCTCTACCTGGTAATGAAACGCACGTTTAACTATTTCTGTGTTGCCAGCGATAATCGAAGTCAGGTTGGTCGAGTGTTATAAATTATAAAATTACAGGCAGTAAAAAGACGGGTAATCAGCCCCTGAGATACTTTAAAACTTATTTACACACTCAAAAAGTAATACGGTTTTCGATAACTAGTAAAACTGAATTAAAGGTATCTCACAAGTATCTAAGCAAGAACAGTTTTCAATAATACGTTTTACGAATTTCATCGTGTTTAATTTAAATTATTTGTATGAAGAGCTTGCATGACTAACGGTGCTGCTAAGCAAAATTCAAAATTTCGGAAATTAAAAATAAAACGCAATAAAACTTCTAAAATGATGTATGTCTTTCTCGTAAGTATATAAAATCTTTTTAAAATATACAGTTTCTACAAGAAGTGTACAAAAATATAAAGGACTACTCGTACTTACCACAATCTGCTTCGTTAAAGACATGTCTCAGCAATGAATAGACAGTGCGTTTTTTAACTCTTATTTATAATATTTTACAGCATCTGCATTCAACGTGACACGCTCGCCATTGTTTGGGCTGTGGTGAAAATTTAGGGAAGTGACGAGTTTCTTATCGACAGTTTAAAGAGATTAAAAAACTAGAGAGATAGTGAGAGAGAGAGAAAGAGAGAGAATGATAGATAGAATACATAGAAAACCTTCTCGTAGAGTGATCGGCTCAGTCCTTATCTATTAAAAGAGCTAAATTTAGTTAATAAATGCCCGTACATGATAAAAGGAATTAAAATTAAAGTGGGAATAACGCTGCAATATGATACATGTTGAGGCACGTTAATTGATGATTATGTTAGAAAATGGACCGTGTTCTCAGAGAATATCAGCGTGACATACATTGCACGTCACATTGCACGTCACAATGGATTTATGGGTCCTGTGTTTATTTGGGACTTATAAGAAAAAAGAATGGGCCAACCGTGTTACTTGCTCAGCATGTCGTAAAAGGCGACTAATGGGATATTGATTTGTTGAAAGTATTGGCGATGAGCTTGCAATCTTTCCCTCATTTACAGTTTTTTATCTACCTCCACAGTGATTAAAGGCGTAACGTTATGTCTGTAATATTTAAATTGAATTTTAATACACGGGGCAAGTTACCAAGCATACCAAGTTATAATACACGTGGTAGAGAGTAGTAGTATTATGGCTGTAGAACGAAAAGTTTTAGTACCAACCACACGTCTCCTTCATTGACACCTTTCCTATATTACATGGCGACCCTGCCAGGCGGTGCGCTGCAACAATGGATGCGTTTGGCAGAAAAAAGCGCTAGCAAGCGCTTGTAAGCAAAATGGCGATCGTAAGCGGTAAGCGCTGTCAAATCGTAAGTAGCTATTTTCCTCTAGGACACGATGTTAGTTTTAACCGGGGAACCTAACCTAATTTAAATATATGTTTGTGAAGTATTCATATTAAAAACTTACCAATCATGAATTTTTAATAACCTGTATATGTCTATCATTATACATGTCATGTCATTATATTACTTAAAACTAATATTGCAAAAAACATCTTATAAACTCTACTTCAAAACAAACAAATTAAATAAGCAAAATGGCGGATTGTGTCAGCGCTACTGAAATAGCAATCGTGTCCTGGCCGAAAACTATTTTAGCGCTAGTAAGCGCTTGCTAGCGCTTTTTTCTGCCAAACGCACCCAATGTATGCGCACCGCCGGGCCAAGTTAAAAGGTGAAAAAAAAAAACTTAATTAAATAATGAAGAAAAAAATTATATACGCAATGGATGCAATACCGGATTTGACAATAATAAATAAACCGCCGCGGCCTGCAATTTTTTTAATAAAATGGGAAAATAATTTAAAGAAATAATATAAAGAAAAAAAACATCAATTATTGAATTGACATAC